CAAGGAGCATCATCACTAAACCAGACCTCCCAGCACTTCATCAACCCGTCTTTTGAACACCTCCAGGGATGGGGCCTCAACCACCTCCCTGGGCAGCCCATTCCAATGCCTGAGAACCCTTTCAGTGAAAAAATTTTTCTTAATATCCAGCCTGAACCTCCCCTGGTGCAACTTGAGGCCATTTCCTCTTGTCCTGTCGTTCCTACATCTGTTGTTGCAAGTTTCTTTAAACCTATGGAGTTGCTGCTTGCCCCTCCTTAACGCTGAAATTCAGAGCACTCCCCTGAAGGCTCCCACATGGAGGTTTGCTACTGCCCAGCTACACCTCTTTCCCCCAACCCAGGCAGTCCCTGAACCATGGCTGTCCCAGTTTCCAGCCCAGCGCTGGGCTGGTCCCCACCTCCTGCCTCTCAGACGGGCTACAAACAGACACACTCACCTGCTCCGACCCACCAGTGTGTTCCATTTATCACTGTAATTTGGGGGTTTTCTTTGGTAACTATATCCTGCAGTGAATCCAGACCCAGTGCTGTGTTATTCATAAATTCTGGTCTGTTCACAAAATTCTGTGGGAGAAGTTGAACAGGAGGAGTTGTTTCCTGGCCTGCCTGTAACAAAGAGGTTAATCACTGACATCAGAGTCACTCAGCCCAGATTGGCTATCTATCTGGTTAGTTGGGTTACCAGTATATAACCCAGCACTCTCAAACACTGGTATTTCTAGTATATAAGTACTATTCTTAAATTACAACGTTTGTTAAGAACATATATATAACATATATCATATATAAGCATACTTCAACTAATTACACTTGTTTCCCCAAAGTTACTCACCACTGGAGAGACAGTAAAGCCAGCGGGTACACAACATCATGCAATGCTTATGCCTGCAGTCAGCTCCCAGCTCAGGAGACAGCACCACTGGGGATTAGAACATTAAAAGCTACTTTCAAGCAGTAACTATATATTTTCTTTTCTGAATTTTGCCATATTCTTTCCATGCCAAAAATATTTCACTTTCACTTCCATAGATACAGTCGTCTGAAGTACCTGATTGAAATGTTTTTGATTTTCCAGTAAAAAACAAAGGAAAAAGGTTCTATTTTTTAAAAAGTGCTTTTATTCTACTCATTATATATTATGAAACACAAAGTTGCTATAGTCTCCCTCAAGTACCACAGAGTAGTCGGTTCCAGCTCACGCTCCCATGGTGGATCCACGTTGAGGCAGGGAGGCAGCAGGCACTCCTGCTTGTGTTTCAGAGGGCAGGAAAACAAAACATGGTAGTATGAAGCTGCTGGAGGTAAAAAAAGAACTTCTGCTTTGCAAAGCAGCGCAGGAGAACTGTTTCGGTGAGGTTCTCTCAGCTGTTTTAAAGCTTAACTGTCTCAGCTGCACACAGGAAAATATAAAGGGGCAAAGCAAAGAGAAAGCTGAGCAGCTAGGGCAAAAAAGGAAAACTATTAACTTATTGGACTTAAGCA